GAAACTTAAACCTCTAGCTTGAAGCCCTATGTTCCACTGGGGAACGTGAAGGAAAAAAATCCCAGCGTGTTAAGAAAATCCAAACAAGATCTGTTTTCTGAATGTTTCGCTGTGTAAGTCACAGTTTCTTCAGAAGAGTTATTCGGATTTTTATTTATCATCAAAATATATAGTCAAAATGTTTTTTTATACACAAATTGAAGTCAGTTTATTTGAAGGTCATTTGTCCATGGACATTTTTACCAATAGAAATATGTAAGCAGTCATCACATATTATTATTATTATTGTATCCTTTAGTTCCTAGAGGAGCATAGGGCTTCAGCTGCGCACCTCCATTGCCTTCGGTTTTCTGACAACCTTTTCACCCTGCTCACATATAATAAAGGTTTTTTGTATTTCCCAATCAATGAAAAACAAAACGATATTGTTTTTACTGACGTTTCGCTATTTAATTCTAATAACTTTCTCAAAGTATTATTAAACCGGAATTTACAAAATCTCAGCATATATATAACAAAGAGTTAGGGGGTGAGAAAAAATAGGCTTAGGTCAAGTTAAAAGGACATATTGAAAGTCAAAATAACAATGAAGATCACTCAAACCAAATATCAAAGGTAATAGTATATCTAGGATACAATTGGTGGATGGTGACTAGCAGTGGAATTTAGGATTCGCATTTCGTCCTATTTGGGATTCGTCAGCTGGATGTACCTGCATTTCTCAGTGAGTGATGATGTTCCCACCGAGGCTCGAACCCAGTACCCATAGTTTCGAACGCCAAAGCGTTATCCACTAGACCACTTGGGCCACGAGAGCCACCTCTTGTGCAACGGGTCATATTAATTATTGAATTGGATTTTTTGATTTTCCCGTCTATCTGTTATTACACCAAGACAAAGTTTACTAACTTGATCATCGTTCGTTAATCTGGAGTCATTTTTGGTTGTCAAGTTGGCGAATTGGTTAAGATAACAAAATCAAGTGTAGATTGTTGGATTTTATCAGTGTGTAGAATTATGAAAGTAGTGTGTGGTTTACATAGTGAACTTGCTTATCACATTTTTGTTGATTTTGCTACTTCATGGGGTAGGGGGGGGTGTTGTAGCCAGGTCAGATTCTGTTTTAGTCCATCATTCCTATTCAGGCAATTTGTATTCCACTTGATATGAAGTGCTTCTGATATTAGACGTTCTTTGTGGTTTCTGAAGTTTTTCTGGATTATTTCAATATTGTCAAAATCAATTTTGTGGCCTGATTCTATAGCATGTAGACCGATGGCTGATGATTTTTGAAGTTTTTCTAGTTCAATTGGATTTCTTGGTGGTCAAAGAGATGCTCTACGGTGTTCATTTCTTCTGATTTTGATTTCTCGAGATGTTTGCCCGATGTAGATCGCATCACATTCCAAGCATTTTATTTTATAGACACAATTAGATAGAGTCTTTAGGGATTTGATCTTTTTTATGGACAAAGTTCCTTTGAAGTGTGTCCGATGTTTTGAAGAAAACTCTAATGTCGAGCTGATTGAGTACTCTTCTGATATCGTCTGACGTCTCTGCTCTATATGGAATGACGACTGTTGATGTCCATGTTTTCGGAATGCGTTTTCGGCCATACTTAATGTCTGTGTTGATTTTGTTGATGAAGTTCCTTGGGTAGTTGTTTTGCTTGAGAGTTTCAGTAATGTTTGATATTTCTTCTTTTTTTTCTTGCTCATCTGTTATCAGAGAGTGTGCTCGTCTAAGAAGACTTGAAACAACTCAAATACTTTGATAAAGCTATCAGCATTAAATAGCGAAATGTCAGTAAAAACAACATCGTTTTGTTTTTCATTCATTGAGAAATACAAAAAACCTTTATTATAATGAAGTCATCACATATATTTGTAATGATTAATGTCAAACTGTTGTTGTGTATATTTTTATATAGTTGATTTGTAAAGATTAGTTTTTTATGAGTGTATGTGTGTGTATGTATGTATGTTATTTGTCATTTGGAAAAGGTCATGTGAGGTCATAAAATTATTTCGATAAAGAAAGGAAGACGAAATTGTAATTTCAGGTAGTCTGCAGCTGATGAGAACCTGTGAAATAGAATGATATCATTTTATACTGCAAATTTCGTCTTCCTTTCTTTATCGAAATTTATTAAGGGAACCAAATGTATGAATAAAATTATTTATTATTATGATGTGGTTTCTCTATTTACTAGTATTCCTATGTATGATTTACTCGATAATATGAAATATGAACTTGACAACGATCAGGAAGTATTGACTAAATCTTTATTATTATCAATAGATGAAGTTATAAAATGAACCGGACTCCGGTCACCAGCTGCCAATGGATAATGGACTGCCTACTCCACTCCTACTGCCTTGTAGGTCACACTTGGTTGTGTAAAGGCTAGAGCTGCACTCTCAAACAAAAGGCCGAGCGATGCTGGGGACATCACTCGTACCCAATTCCCATGAAACTTCATGGTTCATGAAGCCGGCTCATCCTCTCGTAGGAGATAGCCGAAGTAAAGTAAGTAAAGTTATAAAATGCCTAAAACTTTGTTGGGAATCTACATATTTTACCTTTAAAGACAAACTATACTGTCAAACAAATGGAGTTGCAGTGGGTTCACCAGCATCTCCAATTGTAGCAAACCTGTATATGAAAGCTCTAGAAAAGAAAGCATTGACAAGTTTTAGTTGTCATCCTAGAATATGGTACGGATGTGTAGTTGACACATTTATTGTCATAAGGGAAAGCTGAAATAGAGAACTTTCTAACAGAAATTAACTTAATCTCAGAATATATAGAGTTTACTAATGAAGTAGAATCAGCGCAGGGGACTTTAAACTTTCTTGATTGTCTTGCAAAAAGACAAACTGACGAGAAACTAAAGTTTACTATGTACAGAAAGCCGACATATTCCAACATGTATTTGAATTTCCATTCAGATCGTCCAATAGGAATGAAGGTTACAGTAGCTTTAAATCTCGTTTGACAGAGATATAAACATTATAACAAGAGATAATGATGATATGGAGAATGAGATATCCAATATAAAACAGATTTTGATTGAAAATGATTATCCGGAAAAACTACTAGATAACATTATCAATCAAAATGAGCATAAGGGAAAACAGAAAATTGAAAAATCATTGCTATTGACGATAGCCATTCCATATCGAAAGGACACAGCTGAACAACTTCAAAGACTATTTGCTTCGTATAATATTAGAGTGTATTTCAAGCCCTCTAATTGTCTAGAGAAAGCCTTGGTGACTGTCAAAGATATGGTTTCCAAAATGTCACAAAGTAATCGTGTCTATAAGATAACGTGTTCAGAATTTGAAGCTTGCTAAACAGGGGAGAGAAGTAGACAGGTGAAGGTCAGAGTGAATGAACATAGACTATGCACAAAACGTCCACCTAGAAATGAAGTAGAATTAAAAATTCTAGAAAAAGGATCGTCTATAGCAATGCATGCGATAGACAGCGGACATATAATTGATTTAGACAATGTCGAAATTCTAGGAAAGGTTGACCTCTGAATCCTTCCACATTTAAACCACATCGAATGCAATAAATAGGAAAGAAGGGATAGACTTATCACCTATATGACAAACTCTAATGAAGCAAGACGGATGAAAAAACAACAAACACTCTATGAGCCTCCATGACCTTTTAAAAAAATGTAGTATCATGTTTATCACATGTGAATTCACGAATTTTCCATATGACAAATAACATACATACACACACACACTCATACAAATCTAATCTTTACAAATCAACCATAGAAGAGCGAACACAACAACAGTTTGACATTAATCATTACAAATATATGTGATGACTGCTTCCATAATCCTATTGGTAAAAATGTCCATGGTCAAGTGACCATCAAATAAACTGACTTCAATTTATGTATAAAAAACATTCTGACTATATATTTTGATGATGAATAAAAATCCGAATAAATCTTCTGAAGAAGCTGTGGCTCACACGGCGAAGCGTTCAGAAAACAGATCTTGTTTTGATTTATTTAAGTACCACGCTGGTATTAATTGAAATAATATATAAAGGAATATTTCTTTGGAATTTAATATTTCTATACAAGGAAATTATTTTTTATTTTTGATTTCAGCTTGATTCCACACTGTATTTTTGGTACAAGTATGTAATTTTCACCATGGATATCGGGAGCCCAAATTTTGCAGGCTGACCATAGATATCAGGTGTGCGTCGGCAGGGAATCGAACCTCGGGTCATGTGCATGGTCGGTGAAAGTCCTAACGGTTGTACCACCACTGTACACTTTATCTGAAGTCATCATTTGCACAGATCTTCCATGTTCTACTCCTTCTACCCTTCGTATTGTGTTTCTTTCTTGTCTTCTCTTTGTGTCTCGCATGTTTTACCGCAACACTGAATCATTCGCTTTCTTTGACGTTAAATCTATCCCTCCACTGTATGGTGATTTTATGCCGACGAATATCTCCTTCTATACTACTGATAAATTTCATCAGTAGCTTGATATCGCTAAAATGAGTAACTGTTTATTGAAAACCTCTTCTCTTATATTCTCCTAGTTATTATTATTATTGTTTCCTTTAGTTCCCAGAGGAATGTAGGGCTTCAGCCCCGGACGTCTCCATTGCGTTCGGTTCTCTGCTAATGTTTTCGCCTGGCTCCGCGTCTGCCCACATGCTCTCATCTCCTCTTCAAATGACCTCCTTCTCCATGTTACCCTAGCCTCGCACTGACGACCAACTCACCTCTTCCTGTTCAGGTTCCACTCGAGCGATGACCTGTCTTGTGATGTCACTCACCTGATGGTGGTTTGTTTTCTCAGAGTATGGCCTCCAATTCACCTCCATTTCTTCCTGCTTATTTGTTGCTTACATTTAAATAAAACATTTGAAAAATACAAGATCCCTTCACTGTCATATACACCAGTACTGTTCAGAGAAAAAAAAAGCATTTTTTTTTTGGTTTTTCAACAGATGAAAGTGTAATTACTTTAAAGAATCTTATTGACTTATGGGAATTAGCATGTCTATCGAAATCGTTCAAAAACTTATCGAGAAGTATGCGTCTTTTAATCTTATTGGATACTTTACATTCTGAAGAATGGTGTAAATCATTGACTAAATGGAATACACAATGTTGTATAGCAATACAATCAGCTATACCAGTGTTCAGTAGTAATAGTAATAATAATAATACTGCTGATCAAAATCATAATTCATTCATTGGTATGTTCACGGAATTCTGGATAAAAGAAAATATTTCAAGGATTAGTTATCCTAGTCAAATATCCTCTGTTGAAGAACTTCGTGGAAAACTTATGAATTTATCACAAGTAAGGCGTGTTTTGCTACTATTTTTGTTTGTTTACTTTCAATAACACTTGAGATTTACATCAGTAGTGCATATAATCCTATGGCGTGTTCCGTGGCTGAGATTACGTGCTCATTCAATCTAGGCAGATAGCTGCTACCTTGATTCGATGGTCGGACTTGTATATATTATCATTATTATTTCTTTTAAATCGTAAAGGAACATAGGGCTTCAGCCGCGCGTCTCCATTGCGTTCGGTTCTCTACCAGCGTTTTCACCTGGCTCCAAGTCTGCCTACATGCCTTTCAAAAACAGTCAACCTTTTCATGTCTTCAACTCGTATTGGCCATGTTTCAGAGCCATAGACAAGGACGGAACGAACTGCTGAGCAGTACACACGTCCCTTGGTTGATAGGCGTGACATCCGGCCTCCAAATTAAAGATTATAATGATAATTAAAAAAAGATGGTATTCGCATGGTGCAGATACTACTTATTGATAAAAGCAGTAGTTAGAAACTAATCACGTCAGACAGTAGTGTTGGTTTTCAGGTGATCGGAAGCAACTGGCGGGAAGCTGTTCGTACAGGAAAGCCTCAGCGAGGCCTATCTGCTAACTTGAAGGGGCTGATATCGTCTGGCGAAATTCAAATCCTCACATCACTCGGTAATGAATTGTTGCCAATGAGACATTTTTTGGCGTTCCTAAAGAATACCAACAAATACAAAACATAAATTCAATGCTTTCTGTCGATTGCTTTCAACCACATAACACCAATTCAAAGTGAACTGTGTCAACGAGCAAGTTTTTTTGATGACTACCTTCTTCTGACTGGCTGATATCAACACATACACACACACACCTAACAGACATGAATGCATCAGTGCCCATTGAAGTGCTCAGTCATTACAAGACAGTGAGACCAGGTAAGAAGTTGTGGAATGAAATGCAATGGTATTCAACAGAATATCTGGTCGGATTCATTTAAGGAAGGTTAGATTCGGGATGAGGGATTAGTTAACCTAATTATAAAGATACGAGAGTTGGTTAGGCATGGATCACAGTTAGGTTAAGTAATAAAAATTAGTGTAATGGCCCCCTGTCAAATATCCAGATCACAAAACATCTTGGGCCCGTCGTTGACTTCAGAAGACCGCACCTAACATGCGGAATACTATGCACAGTAACCAACACTGAATATGAGAAAACGGAGGGATAATGTGACTGTTTACTTTCTCCACAGATTATGAAACAGGACTACTACAAGTGACGATGTGCGAATCGTAGGAATGAATGTTAATAAAATGTACAATATTACTTCTAATGGTATTTCTCTTGTCATCTGCCAACCACCACGTGATTAAACAACGATCGTCATTGTTGTCTCCCACCAAATAAAGATCAGCTTCAATTAAACAAACTATTCAAGGTTCACCAACATTGACAGGATCCAAAATTTACTCTTTTTAGCGAAATTTCTGCTTTCAAAGTCATTGGTACTCCTGTGTCATATTGGACGGTGAAAGTTGAATGAACTTCACCCACTCAGGACCAAAAAACATGGCATTTATTGTTAGCATCTAGTTTGCAGCCAGTGTATTCCTATCTCAAATAATAAAAAATACCCATTAAAAATTTTTTTTCAAAAGAATGGCTACTGAAGAAAGAATATTTTTTTCGATTACCTGCTCTTCATCAGGTTCTACAGTTATATGTGTCCATATTAATAATGAAGGAATTAGGGTTATTAACATCATTAATATGGTTTAAATGACATCGAATCAATCAATAATATCAATAGATTACAGTTCAATACCGAGCATCTATAAGTGTGATAATATCCATCAACACAACACTACACTGAATATCAGACAGACAAATTAGGTGAAATCCTCCATACAATCCAAAAAATCCCCACAAAACCAATACTTGAAAATTAATCTGATGCTCTCTAGCGACTGGTCCTATTCAGGCAGTTAACCTGGGTTTCTAGTGGGAAGCCGTGACCAGTAGGGTACAGCAGGTTGAAGATGAGGCAGTAACTCATCGAAGAAGACATTGCGAAGTGGTCGCGCTATGTCGTGAATTGGCAGAAGTTAGAATTCAAGGACCATTGGATCGGGTCCCAGTGGCTCACTGGTGTACGAGCTCACCTTGTAACGCCTCAGTGTGGGTGCGTATTGATGAAGAGTCCCAAACTAAGACAGAATAGTTGTCCAGCAGTCCCAGGTTTTCCAGTGGTTCTCTAACTGATGTCAGCTCATCCCTAAATCCCCCCATACAATCAAATTGGGGAAAATAATAGTAATACATAATTCATGAATTTATAGTCTCCATTGAAGGTCGGGGGACTTGTTTCTTCTGCACACAGAGCATTGGTTGTTTCAGGCAGATGGCAATAGCCTCTACTGTTTGGAGTCTTCGGTACCTGGATGCTTTCGGCAAATTATATTTGGTACCTGGTAGGTGATGGAGAAGGATACTTCAATGCTGGCTGGCCTTGTAGCCCGTTTGAACCAGGTGGTCTAATATCGAGCTGTTGATGTTTTTCACCATACCTTTATTTACCCACACCGATAGGTGCTGCCAAGCGACCACGAAAGGATCAAGTTCCTAGAGCAACGGTCAGTATAATTCGTTCGACATGTGCAGTTGAAATGGTAGATACCATTGAAGGTGGAGAGCAGGTTATGGAAAAGAATATTCTTTGTTCAATACTCAGTATTTATATCTCTGTTGTTTATTTACGTTCTCTTATGTCTGATGATATATCCGTTTCTTATCTCTTTTTCTTTTCTGTACACACCTTTCAGCCAATAAAATTTATTTACTCAACAACAAATAGTTGGTTCAACTTTCAACTTCGTGTACCGTCAATCGAGGAGATAAATAAGTATTTGAAGTTTGTATTCCCGAAACCGTTACAAAAGTTGTACTATACATTTTTATCAATATTTCAGATCAATAAGATCGATAACAAGAATACTACTAATAATAATAATAACGTATGCAACAATAGAGATGCAGAAGAAAAAGACGAGGGAGAGGAAATGACTATCTCACAGAAGTTATTATTATTATTATCATACACCAAATACATTTTCTATCCATTAAATATATTGATGAGATTCACGTATACTAAAGTCACCGATCAATATAGACAAATGTATTTTGCCTATTTTTCATCTGATTTATTAGAAATTGGTCATGGATTTATTTTAATGCGTACATGAATTTTGTTATATTTTTGTTTGTTTGTTTTTCTTTCAAAAGAACTGCTTCACCATTGAACATCAACATTGAAATAATAATAATAATAACCCGCTTGATTCAATTTGTGCTGTGCTGTGCTGTGCGCTACAACATACAACACGCTTACTTACTATTCGTAATTATTTTCATTTCATTTTTCATAAAAGTAAATTGAACTCATCTGTATTTTTTGTTTTGAAAATTGATTTTATTTTTTTCCATTTGATTGTTATTTTTTTTTATATTCTCATTTCATCTCATATTTTACTTATCAGACGCATATCATTGAGAAACAAATATTGAGAATGAAACACATGATAGTTTGATTTTGTTGTTTCTTCCTTCTTGAATTATTCAACCAACACTATTCAAGTACATAAAATAAAGTGATGGGTAGATTCCATCATAAATTACCGCACACACATGTAGAAGGTAAATAAGATACCCACTCAAAATCGTCTTCATTTCAAGACTAGATGAAGGATTAGATTCTGGAGCATTAGATCACATGATGAATATGTTTCGCTACTTTTTTTTCAAAGTCCTTTTGTTGAATGAGTGTTTACTCATTGATGAATTCTCTTTCCCCTGTTGAATTAACCGGTGTTCCTTCTCCTTCCAACCATGTTCGTTATAACAGACAATAAAAGGTAATGATGGAGGATTTAGTAAATTTATTGAATTTCAGTAGAACTCTTCAGCCGGATACCCTCCTATTATTATTATTATCGGAAATAGTAATACTATTGTGGTGAGAGCAGGCTGCTAGCCGATTGGTTGGCACTAATCTACGTTAATGTCCAGGTCACTAATATGGGCCGTGAGAAAATATGAACAAGGCTGTTTCAACAACCAATCACAGCAAACTTAAATGTGGACAAATATGATTCGCAGATAGATGGCTCTACTTTCCGAGAAATATCGAAAACAACCAATCATAAGACTGTGTTTGTCTGCTTAACTTCCGAGAAACAACCAATCAGAAGACTGCCTTTTTCTGCTTGCATAAGCCTTATTAATGCACATAAAATATATATAAGTACGTGTTGATTTTCGTAATAAAACGATCTGTTGCCAGCCCTTGTCTTCTGTTGTTACATTTGGTGTCGCTGCCTCCAAAAAGATGAAGATCCCGTGGCCAGCTGCGTTTGAAGAAGGAGACATACGGAGCTTCCACTGATTTTACTAACACATCGGGCTACCACTCAGGAAACAACGAAGAAGTCACCCTTCCAACTGATGTATGGTAGAAAACCACGATTACCGGTACACAATGAGACCTGGCCCATGCACCAAAAGTGGAGTACGACGAAATTAAAAGCAGAGAGGAAAGAGGCAGTCAAGAATGTAATACGGAAGCAGCGCAGTGATGTCACGAAGTCTCAGATGAAAGAAAGAACGCAGTGCATTACCTTTGCAGTCGGGGACCAAGTGAAGTGTAGAGACAGGAGATATACAGTTGGAGGCGGGCTAGGTTCACGGAAACTCCTTCCAAAGTGGGAAGGACCATACACAATCACAAAAAGACGGGGTCAAGTATATACCATCCGAAGAGGTGATAAACAGAAACGAGTTAACGCCAGTCAGCTCCAAAGATGGGTACAGTGGGACAAACCGGTCAGTAACAATCCTCAACTAGAGGATGTAGCACTCAGAAGGTCGGAACGTCTGCGCACGAAGCTATTTGACGGGGGGACGAGTGTGGTGAGAGCAGGCTGCTAGCCGATTGGTTGGCACTAATCTACGTTAATGTCTAGGTCACTAATATGGGCCGTGAGAAAATATGAACAAGGCTGTTTCAACAACCAATCACAGCAAACTTAAATGTGGACAAATATGATTCGCAGATAGATGGCTCTACTTTCCGAGAAATATCGAAAACAACCAATCATAAGACTGTGTTTGTCTGCTTAACTTCCGAGAAACAACCAATCAGAAGACTGCCTTTTTCTGCTTGCATAAGCCTTATTAATGCACATAAAATATATATAAATACGTGTTGATTTTCGTAATAAAACGATCTGTTGCCAGCCCTTGTCTTCTGTTGTTACACAGGTGGCTGCGGGAGAAAGTTTCCTGGAGTTCTATTGAGAAGTTGTGACCAGTGAGGTCCACCCCGGTTGGAAGTGAGGACAAATACTCGCCGGTGATGACATTGGCCGGTGCATGTCGCGCTAAAATCATGAATTCGTAGAAATTAGAATTCATAGTCTGGCCATTAAGTCATGTTCCAGTGGCTAAATGTTCTACCACCAGCTTTACTTGTAACCGGAATTTCCTAAGTTAGGGTCTTATGTTGGGTGAGTACTGTTGATGAGTTCCAAACTAGGATGAAAAAGCTGTCCTCTACTCTCTGGACTCCAATACTACTCTAACTGGAATCAATCTGTGATCAAACTTGAATTAATAATAAGAGAGTATCTGGCTGAAGAGTCCTGTCGAAATTTGATGAATTCACTAAAGTCTGCTTTTATTAACTTTTCTTGTTTGCTTTAAATTCATATCGAGAAGTATATATTTCTAAAACTTCGTTATTCTATGATGAATACTGAAGCATATTTAGACTAAATTAAAAAGCAAGTCAATTTAGATTTCTCGTTGACTGATTGATTATGTTGGTGTACCGAAATGATAGGTCTCTGTTAACATGTCGTCTTCTAGTATGAAGAGCTTGACCATATCTAAATATGAAAATGATGTTATTTTGTGATTGGTAGCAATGGGTTCCAGGGTGCGTTTTTCTTCCTGTTTAGGAATCATCATCGGAACATCGTCAATCAACTGTTGAGTGCTTTTTTGGATGAAATATGCATGCATCCTGTAATTCCACTGCTAGTTACCATCGACCGAAGTAGTCTCACTACAGTTGACACCGTCTGTGTTACTCAATTCTTAGCCAAATCAGATCATTAATTAAGGGTAAAAACGTAGTTTCTAGCTTGAGTTAGCTGGAACGAATTTTCGGATGCTTGACAAGCCACCAGCCACCCCTGTCATGTATGTGCATCTTTGTGGGCTGATGATACTGTGGTGACAGAGCTGTCTGCAAGCCATAGTTGTTGACTTCAATTTACATCAATGTTTACCTCCCGAATCGGGGTTATGAAAAAAACAATAACAAATCTTAACCTTGGGGAAATCACCAGTCAAACAGAGCGGAATTAACGTGTGGAAACATGGTTCTCAGATGTATGGCGTAACTTTCTAAGGAACGACAAAAAGAGATAACAGAATAACCTTCAGCAAGGAAACAATCCATCAGAAGACGTCGCTTCTCCGCTGACAGTAATGTACATAAAAATCTATGAATATCTGTTGATTTTCTCAATAAACGATCTGTTTCCTGGCCCTTGTCTTTTGTCTTTATGCAATACTACCCAGTCAACCTAACCTAAATATATAAAGAAGGATATGAATGATAGATATAGACACCCCGGAATTGTTGGGCAGATTGTATTCACACAACATACAGAAGGAAATATACATTTGTAAAAAGTGCACCAATTAATGCGTGATAATAATCTAAAGCATTTTTATCAGTCTTCAGATTTTTATCAACAGCTATCCACTTCTCTCCATACTGAGAATCAAACTGCCAGAAACCAAGAACCCCCTTGACTGACGACACACAGTTAGGAGACCGTCGGAAGAGGTTGCAGTTCAGGCAGAGCCTTGACGACGACCAGTTTGGGAGTGAGCCAGAGCATGACGTAAAGGAGACCTTGTGAGGAGGAGATAAGAGTCTGTGAGGAGCTGTGAACTTCAGAGAACAGAATTAACGTGTGCAACAATAGAGATCCAGAAGAAAAAGACGAGGGAGAGGAAATGACTACCTCACAAAAGTTATTATTATTATACACCAAATATATTTTCTATCCATTAAGCTTGTTCTCAATGGACTAATTAGTTCGCACGATGCTTTTAGCTTAGTAGGCATTGATATAGAGATTAAATCAAGCATGAAATACCTTGGAATGCTTCCATCCTCTGACCTTTCTTAGTCAAGCCATATCCTTTCAATTTCTAGGAAACTATTCTGACTAACCTATATTAAGAGGTCAAGATAATCAGGCATAACTCAACCTCTTTTTTTAAAGTTTGTTAACCCTTGCGCCTAACCTAATGTCCTTTACTGCTTCCCCTTAGTCTTTCCTTGGTCATCCAAAAGGGATTATGTCATACTGAGAAGGGCATTGAAGGTTATAAGTAGGGTAGGTGTTGGTGTGCCACTAATTCAGCTTGTTACAACTATAGTTAACAGACATCTGAACTTATACGACAAATTGTTTGAATTCATATTCCCTGACTTTCAACATTCACTTCATTCCCAATTCTGCCGTTGCATCAAATCAGGTAGCGATAGAAGTCATTGTAGAAGGGAAGAAGCTCGCACAACAAGCAAAACAATTCAACAATGCCATATTTGGCCCGCCGGCGTTCTTTGTGGTAGAGAAAGTATTTACTGTGTAACTAACAAAATAAAATGGCTATTCAATCTTCGCTTTTTGCAATTTAGGGTTGACCCAATTTCATGAAAACAAAACAGGTAGTTAAGCGAAGAGTCTCTCTCCGGCAAATTCATTTTCTTAGCTGTACAGTCGGAAAAATAAATGTGTAGCTAACTTTATATGTATGTGTACATTAAGTTTGTCAAACAAAAATACAATTGGTTATGTTTATTATAGCTAAAGGGTGGGGGTGAGAATTAATAAGTTTTGGCTGGAGTTACGTAATACAAAAACGGTCAAGAAAATTAGTTGTTAATGAAACTAGGGTAGTAACAAAGGTGATGAATTGTCACAAACAGTTGTTAAAAAGAAGTCATGTAATGATATGAATAGTTTGATGATTGAGTTGTACTCAGGATGCATATAGAAACAAAGCAGCTTATATAGACATTTCGTAAGAGTTCTGAATGAATACAAGAATTATAAGCAGTTAGAGAAACATGCAAAGCAATGTAATTAAGCCATCAAAAATCAACATAGTTGTAAACACAGCTCCGGTTTTCTATGTAAATGGCTGGAGCCTCAGTAACACATAGAAGACGAGACCTTATTGCCTTTGGTAGGTTATTCTTGACTCTGTAGATTACTATGAAAGAGACGTTTGTTGAGATGGAATGATCAGTGTTAACCAGGTGTTCAGTTATCGCACTCCTTATTACACCACACTATCGCCTTTTCGCAACCGTGCTGGATCGTGTTCTTGAATCCTCTTGGACAGAGTGAGCGTCGAACGACCGATGTACCTGGCCGGCTCCAAAGCAGCAGGTGAACTGATATATGCAGATATTGCTGGTCGGATGCGGGATCTTGTCATTGAGGCTTCTATAGATCAGTGGTTGACTGGAGAACGCTATTCTTAGCGTTGCTGCACAGAATGTTCTTCTCAGAAATGATGTGATCCTTCTCTTCAGAATATTGATTGGTTAAATCTCTCTTGAAATCGTTTTCAGCGAAAGTGGAGTTTTACCTCCCCAATTTCTTGGTTTGATATTTTTTATTATTATCATTATCAATCAATCTTGGTGGGCATCCATTTAGGATGAAGATTGCTTTCAAAAGATCTAATTGTGCTTGCAGAACATCAGGCCTACAGGTGAGTCGGATGCGTGTGGCAAGGAATTTTGTTGAATGGGTAGTCTATTTCAATTATCTTATCATTTCAGTTACTAATATTATTATCAATTTATACTTTTGTAAATTTTTGATTTAATTGTTCTCGCTAATGCTAAAAATGTTGGTATCATCAATTTTGGTTACCTATATACGTAACGACAGAAGACAAGGGCCAGGTGACAGATCGTTTTTAGGGAAAATGAACAGACATTTATGTCTTTTTATGTACATTATTATTCGTTATTGTTAGCAGAGAAGCAACGTCTTCTCATTGGTTGTTTTCTTGCTGAAGGTTAGGCAAAGTTAAACTTTCGACACCACTAACAACCAATCAGCAAACGACCTCGAACGGACCAATCACATTAAAGAGGCATATATGATGAATGGAAATGTATATTTGTAGAAAAAAGCATAAAATAGATAATAAAAAAGGTTACATGGGATATCTTTCTCGAACATGTGATAGAAAAATCTCCCAGTTTAGCATGGGACTGTCAATGGAGAAGTTACACCATATCCTGTACACATATTCATGCAAATGACTATAAATGAGATCCTTTTGAGATACATTTATAGCCCTTATCCTATTTTCCAACCTGCCCCGAAATCCTTCATTAGAATTTGTATGTGTCCTCGTAACGGGATCCACAAAATCACTTGAATGGTTGTCTCTACGATGAATATATCCCAGAGATGACAGTGAATTGTAGCCTTTCCGTGTGTGTAATTGACCCCCGCTTAACAATTCTGGTAACAATAGGTATAAGAGTAGTTGCTTTTCTGGCGAAGTTTAAGAATAGCGTCCCAAAACCTTCAACGCTCAAATGACCTTGAACGCATGCTAGTCGTTGGCTTACGGTTCCTGTCATTATCATAGCTGAAATATCAACCCTATTCATCAAATAAGGAGCAAGTTTCACCCAGATAACACTTTTATTACTGTTTGGACAATGTGTTAACATCTCGTTAGGGTTAGGATAGGGGTTAAGGCGAGTATTGTGGTTAGGGTTAGGGTTACGGTCATTGTGTGCGTCGGTGGCACAATGGTTAGGGTTACGGTTTAGGGTTTAGGGTTAGGGTTTAGGGTTATGGTTAGGGTTAGGGTAGCGATTAGGAATAGATTTTTCGTTTATTTCAAGTTCTTTTGTTATCCTTATTTCCATTGTATGTAGTCGCCAATGCTCTTACTGGAACCATAGTAACTAAACCGAGGACTGAGGAGAGGACTACACAGCAAGAGAAGAGAGATGAACCATTCCCAAAACAGCACACCTTCAGTCTCTTTGGTGAATACATCTACAGAAACTAGTCCAAATTAGCAACTGATACTCTTCATCGCAACTGGAACGTATTTTTAAGTCATATCAGAGAAATATAATCCGTTTAATGTTTTTTTTCATGCATTTTTATGTAAATATACGTCAAATTTTATGCGAAATTCCTCCTATTTTCTGATTGGTCGGCTCAAGGTCATTGTGCGTTCGCATCTCTTGGGACTCCATTCTTAAACTTTGCCGCTTTTCTATCTGCTATCCTTAGGGAGAGAAACGACCTAGCGAAAAGAAGTTCCTACGAAATAATAAAATTATCAGCATACCCTCTCTAGTGTTAGTAGGCTTCAAACATATAGCACAACGATGAACAAACCCATCAGTTGATTTGGTTTAGCTCTTTAAAGTCATGATACCACCACACAACCAAATTCGTTCTTCCCGGAGCAACTGAAATCTAGGAAATACTGGGAAACACTAACCTCCTCTAATTGCAACAACAGCCTTGTAAGGTCACGCATTAGAAATGAATCAGGCGCTATACAACATTGAACTGCGTTCGTGAACCTCATTGGATAATTCGACATCGTTCGTGAATCTCATTGGATAATTCGCTGATTGGTAGTTAGTGGTGTCGAAAGTTTAACTTCGCCGAAGGTTATTCTGTTATCTCTTTGTTGCCGTTTCTTAGATAGTCCGGTGATGTATCTGCGAATCGTATCCGCCCACGCTAAATTTGCTGTGATTGGCTGGTGAGTTCCTCAAGGTTAGGCTTTGTTCTTGTTTTATCTCGTGACCCCAACTCGGGACGTAAACACTGACGCAAATTGTTACACACGATTGTGGCTAGCAGAAAGCTGCCACCACGTAAACAACCTGTAATATCCTTCTTGTTGTTTTTGGCTAAATTAGATGCAATATTGTACCAAATGCTGAGAATTTCGAGCTGTATCATAAGTACTCTTTCGGAGTAACTCAAATTATTACCACGTGATCTAAGTTAATAAGGGAATTCAGTTCAAGGGTTGCCAAAACGAATTAACCTCATAATTATTTCCGTCTACCTGGATGGGTAGAATGTTGGCAGTCAATTATAATTTGAATTTTCTCAAGTACTATGTCATGCGTGAATTTTTACGGAGGTCTGCTTAAAACTTCGGCTACCCAAAAACCTCCATCAGTAGACATTGCATATAATTTATCCTGTCCATTTCGTTTTAATCTGATAAAATATGACCTCTTATGGTATTATTTACTGTCATGAGTATTCATCACAAACTCCTGACTCAAGCGTTCCTAGTAAACTTGAAGAAAAGCATAGTTGTGGGCGACAGCATATCCTAGTACATAAGACAACTGTTCCTAAGTTGTGTCATTGGGTTTGTTAAAATGTACTCTTGGGCATTTTTTACAACTGGGATTCAACTAAATGTTGTGCATTCCTCAAAGACGACAAAGAACAGATATCATTGATGAATTGGTTTGCGCTTCGTGTCAAACAAGTGTTAGTGTGTCACACGACCTTCTGCTAATTAATATTTTCCCTGAAAATTCTGTACATTTTGAAACACTGTACAGAATAAAGCAATTATTACTCTTATTAGTAGTATTTCGTATTGTAACAAGAGAAGACAAGGGCCAGACAACAGACCGTTTAGTGGGAAAATCACGAGGTATCTATAGATTTTTATGTGTATTATTTAGCAGCGTTATTGTTAGCGGAGAAGCAACCTCTTCTGAATGGTTGTTTTCTTGATGAAGATTATTCTGTCATATGTTTGTGGCCGTTTCTTCGAAAATTAAACGATATATCTGTGAATCGTATTTGCACACGTTAAGTCTGCTCTGACTGGTTGGTGAGTTCTTCGAGGTTAAACTTTGTTGTTGTTTTTTCTCATGACCCTGATTTGGAACGTAAACATTGATGTAAATTGTTGTCTACAATTTTTATCTTGCAGACAGCTCTCACCACAATATTACATGTAAGTATAAAACTTGGGCACTTTGGTAGAGTATAAGTCTATTATGGATAATATTTTATTTTGATAAGTCATACAATGTCACACGGTAATATTAACTGATGACCACGTTTCGAGCACAAATTATTTACTGCTCATAATCATATCAAGGTACTATTCACACAACCGTTTTCTTCATTTATATATGTGTGGAATCGACTATATATTTAAATAAAAAGCAATCTAGGATATTATACATTCAGAAATAACTATATGAGTGTTATTGATCAATTACAGTCAGATGGGAAATAAGACGAGTGTTTTTGTACTCAAAATAAGTAACTTATTAGAATGCTGTGATATGCTTGAATTGGAATAGAATTTTAAGACTATTTATTATCCTCCTCTGATTTGACTGGCAGTAATAATATCTTCCATATTTCTGGTATTTGCATTGAGTCATTTCTGCTGCATGTGTTGGGTGTAGACTCAATGAACCAGGATTCTGCAATCAATCTTTCTCTCCACCTACATAGATTACTTCCTAGAATCTTAACCCTCCGCCACCCTTTTGTATGGCTGTGTGTCAGTGCATGTAGTGCAGTTGCTGAGCATTTTTCTAAATTACTTACGTTCCGACAACCTGATTACCTCTGACCTGCTAGTTTGACAATAGGTGACATGGCTCAAAATCGTTGTCAATGGCGCAGATGTATTCAGTCTCTGTAATCTTTCATATTCCTTCCTACCATTACCCATTCTGTTTCACTCTTATACTTGTCAAACTCTATTGATTCTCTCCACTCATCTTCTTGTCTACCTCTGTGTGCTATTTGGAAGGTGGCAACGCGAACTGCTGCACTTCGGTGCCAAGTTCTATGTTGAATCCAGACAGACAGACAGTTTGACCTATATAATAGTTGACCTCACAGTCATTGCAAGGTATTTTGTAAATTATATTATTTTGTCTAAATGGGTCGACCGACAGGGTCCTTTAACCTACAGAGCTTGTCTCTGAGTGAGTTTTTACGTTTGAGTGCCACTCTAATTTCTGTTTTATTCAGAATCCTACGTAGGGTCTCAGTTGTCCCTTCCTTATATGGTTTAACAGTAGATGCCCTATATTCTCTCTTATTTGCGTTATCATTACTAGTTTCACAATTATCATAGTTTGCTCTTAGCCTTTTCTGATCTTCCTAATGAATTTTATAGGATAGTTATTCAACACCAACGCCTCTTCTCTCTGCTTTATTTCATCATTTGGGTCTTTTGTTGTACTACTTAGGGCAACTGCTCGGTTTGTTAGACAGACACTTAACTAAGCGTGCCTTCACAGACAGATAACGGATGAGACGAATTAAAGTCTAAGTAATATCTATTAGAATGCGTTGGTGTTTTATAAACACTTTAGCGTGCAGTTTACCTTCTTCTATTCGTTTTATTTTACAATCTAAAATTATTGCTAATTCTCCTTGTTCATATTCCGATTCGAATGTGAATTTTACATACTTAAAGGAAGATGTTATGTATGATTGGCTGTTTAAATGCTTGTTTTATCGATTTTTTTACACGCATTGGAATATCTGATTTATGGCGTCTGTTATATATGTGGCACAAAAACACCTTACGATTATTTTTATTTTTCTATTGAACAAATTCTATTTTTTTTTTTTGATTTACAGCTTGATTCCACACTATATTTTCGGTACAAGTATGTAATTTTCACCATGGATATCGGGAGCCCAAATTTTGCAGGCCGACCATAGATATCAGGTGTGCGTCGGCAGGGGATCGAACTTCGGGTCATGTGCATGGTCGGCGAGAGTCCTAACCACTGTGCCACCGACGCACAGAAATTATAATAGTCTAAATAGCTTTAAACGTGGTCTAGTCAAGACTCTGCACTATAGATCGAGGAGAATATGCTCTATAGAGAAATTAGAGGAGGAGTTTGAGTTCCTTGAAAAGATATCGAAGAGCAATGGGTACCCTCAAAGGTTCATCAACAAGTATCGAAGATCTGAAGTCAAAAATGTAAAACAAATCACAGTGGGTAAAGAGACAATCTACTTTCAGCTTGATTATGAAGGTGAAAACATTGCAGCGATGATCAACAGAAGGCTGAGTACATCACTAGCCATAGCCTATCCTGAAGCTAAGCTCGTTCCCGTCTATCGAACAACTTGCTCTTTGGATCAATCAAAAATCGATAGATATCCTTCTCATGTTAACTCCAACTGTGTGTATACAAATTTACATGTATCTGCGGTAGCAGTTACATTGGGAGGACAGAAAGAAGAAGGGCATACATACGATTTCCTGAACATATACCAAAAAGCTTACGTCTAAAGGGAACAAATGCTTCAAACAGTACGATCGCAAGATATCTCCTTGACACAGGTCATGAGGTCGACGTTGCAAGATCGTTCAAAATTATGAATAGGCAAAAGAGCTCAATTCTCCTTAAGTTTGCTGAAGCAATTTCAATCAAGCGCCTGAAACCTGATTTATGCGTCCAGAAAGAAGCCGTTATAAGTCTTTCTTTACCCTAGTAACTGGATATTTTCACCTCTCTTTCTTCCGAATGCGAAACGCTAAAAGTTTCCATTGTGTATGATTATTATTTTTCGGAATAGTGTTTAATATTGCATATTTATATATGTATATATTTTTAGTGTATGCGTATATTGATCGATTGGTTTTTTGTTTAATATGAACTCTGTGCAAGCATGTCAAAATTGTTGTTGTAGATATATTTGATAATGTCTTTGCCATGTAAGCAGCTGACGAGAAGGCAACGAAATAAATAATGATGGTACCACTTTATTCTGCTAAAACTGTAGTTCTTGCTTTGTTCAAATTCATTAAGGGGAATAAATGTATGAAATTATAATAGTCTATAGTCAAAAAAAAACGAAAAGAAAAAGTACAAATGTTTCACAATTGTTCCATTGAACATTTAATAGAATATTTAGAACAGAAATGAAAACAAACAAACTACACATAAATGTACTAAACTATAAAAGACTTGATTTTAGTTCATAGTGAAATGCTGAGAAGTAGAAATCTATCATTTGAAAGTATGTGATAATGATTATAGGAATAAAAATTTCGACAAAAAACAAAGACTAATGGGATAAACATGAGTAAGACTCAATAATTAAGTATCATTCTTTCTCTCTCTCCTTGTTTTCATATTTTACCTTGTACTAATTCCGTAGAAGTCAAATTATACAATCATCCCTTTATAATGAGGGATAATATTGGAAAAACTTAAAATTTAGACGAAAAAAGAAGAGTAAGAAAGAATCAAATCAAGTACTTTGGTTATTATTGCTGTTGAGAAATAATTGCTAACTTCAGCCGAACCCTCTGCATGAGTCGTTCAGTGGGAGAATGCTCGCCATCAACTGCTTCACCCCACCCCACCCCCCAAAAAAGAGGGAAGGTTACTCGTGAGTGGAGGTTAGTACCTCCATTTAAAAGCTCAACCTTGAGGCCCTCTACTGTATATGAAAATTCGTATGAATGAGTCTAGACACTGCTAAACGAAACTGGAAGTTATTTGAACAATAAGTTGAAGAACGAGTATCCTATTTTAGTAAATTTTTGCACTTTTCTAGACGCGCTGTTTTCCTTTTTGCCTCAATATGTCTTTTTCTAAATGTGATTGGTTGGATCAAGATTCTATTTGGTGTGCTCATTCAGTTAGGGTCTTATACGTTAACATCAAAGATATTTTCAGCAACGTTATTGGAGGAGATCGCATGATGAGGGCGGTTGTGGAGCTAAATAAGAAAGTCAACAGAGAACAGAATACTACAGATGAGCTACACTGAAATGTTATGCTCCAACTGGAACTTAAGTATACATATAATACTGAAAAGAAAATTGGATTTTGTAATGCATCAAACAACAATACATATATGTACAATGTCAAGCTGAAGTGTATGGACTGGAAGGGAGTAGATTGTGAGGTGGGGTGGTTATAAGCATGTATATATGTGTGAATTCAATCGATTTTTCGTGAGTTTCTGTGACGATGATGATGGTGAGAATGGTGATGATACGAAGGTCCATATAATAAAGGCCATACAAATATAGTAGCATAACAGATGAACGTTATTAGCACAAATGTAATGAACAATAGACGAGTCCCAAATAGGACGAAATGCGCATCCTGGATTCCACTGCTAGCCACCATCCACCAATTGTATAATAGACGATCTGTTATCTTTGCAATTAATTTCCATTCATATTTAATTAATTCATGTCTCACCTTTTCTTGATCTCTTACTTTATCATTATGATTATTTTCTTCATCATTATTACTAGAAGTAATAGTTTTAGAATAATTAATACCAGAAGGAGTAACTGGTATGTCTCTGTGTACATCGATATCTGTACTCAGTAGCTCCGTAGAATCACGTATTATAGACAATGGTAGATAGTTCTGTAATTTATTGACATCTCTTTGTGATGACATTCGAAATGATGATTCAAGGAGTGAAGCTGACATGGTTTGAGGTGAAAGGATGCGGTGATTCATTGCCTCTTCAACAAGAACATCTTGATCATTGTAAATTGAATCTAATGAATGTAATGGTGATGTTTTTTTCTTCAACTGATTCGATCCATTGATGATAAAGCTTGAGACACACAAATAATCTTGATAGATTGATTGAATTTCTTTAGTCAACTGTTCATTTTTAGTAAGAAGTTGATTCAATTCACAAAGTGTTGAAATTTGACCATTAATTTTTGCTAATTTATTCTCTTGACTAGTAGCAGTGGACATGGAAAGTTTTTCAATCTAAAAGTGAGAGTTTAAATTTTTATTTTTGAATAAATAAAAAACAAAAACAACAAACAGATTATGTATATATACGAGTTTGACCACGAATTAAAATCAGTTAGGGAGAGAGAGAGAGAGAACCATTGAAAACCAGCAACAGCGAGTACTGGAGAGCCAGCTGTTTCACCAGCCTAGTTTGGAAATCATCGGAAGTACGCACCCACTGCCAGGGTTCTAACCCAGGACATTCCGGTTACAAGGCAAGCTAGCTCGTATACCATTCAGCCACTGAGACCCAATTCCATGGCCAGTCTGTGAATTCTAACTTCTACCAATTCGTGATATTTAGCACTACCACCAACCAGTTTTATCGGCGGGAACTCCATCCTCACATTTGACTGGATAGACTTCATTAGCCACGACTTCTCAATAGAACTCCAAGCAACTCTCTCCAGTAGCAAGTCACTAGCGAGTATCAGATTAACTTGGCTACTCGTACTAATCTTAATTTTGCTTTACCAGTTCGTCTTCTACATACAGCTGAAGCCGTAGGAATCCACCCGAAGAAGCCAAACTTGTGTGTTCAGAAGAAATTTGTGCAGCCAATTTCCTTACCTTGGCCATCGTTACATGATTGCATGAACCGGACTACTTCATACCCCTCCCCCTAAGATATTTTTTTCTTTTTAAAAAACTGTAAAAACTATAATTGTCCAAGTTGTTTTATTTTTCTGACTACTTCATCTTTAATTACGTGTTATCCTTGTAAAAAATATTTTATTCTTATGACCACTTCATCCTTATTTACAAATTATCATTCTCCAAATTGTTTTATTTTCTTTCACAATCTGTTACGCAATCAACCTGTGCACACGCTTACTCCTTAATTGCTCTTCATTTTCCCTATATTATACATTATGCAATCCACTTGTTGTAACCATTTCCACCTTTTAATCATATAAATTAGTTTTCTTCGTTAATTATCACCCCATTGACATTTTGACACTGACTAATTATTGTTAACAAGCATATCACCACTTGATTGGTAAACTGTTGTGTGTACTGTAATAAAAATGCTATGCATCATATGTTAGAGTAGACCCAGAGTGAGATGAGGATCTAATTGAAAAGTAAATATTTCTTCGCTCAATCTTTCTGAAATCTAGTCCTTACAAACCAAACTCTTGAAGATTATGTACACATTCACTTAGTTCGATCCATGAAACTACATACCGCTGATCGACTGGCATGAGGAGTATTGTTTTGCTAGCAACCAGTGCTGATTAATGTACGTGCTCTGGCTTGTAAGTTAGACTGCTGACCTGAATATTGAATATATATTTAGACATTTAATTTAACCTATTTTTACGGATTCTTGATGGGAAGAATTGAAGTTTAAATAATTCATCCCAACCAGAATCAGTAAAGATAGGTTCAGTTAAATGTGTATATATAATCAGGCCAAGAGCCTAACTAGAAAGTAAAATATAACAAGTGAATAACTACACACGAGAATTTATTAGTGAATTTATTGGTCTATTCAAAACCCTCCCACCCTTTCTTATTTTCCATTTCCTTTGTACTTTTATGATATTTATTTAAACTCTGATTATCTGTCCACTTCAACTTTAGTATTACGTAACTTTTAAGATTTGACCTAGTTTATTTATTAATTTGTCTACACATACACACATATTACTACCTTTGTTATTTAGTTGGAATTCAAGGACCATTGGATCGGGTCCCAGTGGCCTAATGGTATACGAGCTCGCCTTGTAACCGGAAGGTCCTGGGTCCGAATGCCGGTGGGTGCGTACTGTGAAGAGTCCCAAACTAGAACGAAACAGCTGTCCAGCACTCTCAGGTTTTCCAATGGTTCTCTAAATAATGTCAGCTCATGATGAAATCCTGAAACCAGTCAAATCCCTACAAACCAACACTTGAATACCTTTGTTATTCTTATCGTCACCTGCATAAACCATATTATCAATATTTTGTTATCATTATAATCATCGTTATTAACTACGCTGAAAACATTTACCAAATTATTATTATTTGATCCACAGAATTACCGTCATTGTTATATGTGTCCAAACCAAGTGCACTTTTAACAGTTTGAAAAAATTTGGGCATTGCCTATATGATATTCATTATAATAAAGGTTATTTGTATTTGCCAATAAAATAATATTGTTTTTACTGACGTTTAGCCATTTTATGCTAATAGCTTTCTCAAAGTATTATTAAACCAGAATTTACAAAATCTCTGCCTCGGTGGCATAGACTGTCTGTCTGACGTAAGAAGCATCGTTTCAACTACAGGCGGACGGAACTGACGAGGATATCAAAGCGAGGATTGGGAAGGCAAGGCAAGCTTTCATTTCTCTCAAGTCTATGTGGAAGTCAACAGTACTCAGCATGAAAAATAAGATCCTGATTTTCAATTCCAACGTGAAGTCAGTGCTACTTTATGGATCAGAGACTTGGCGCGTCATAAAGAGCACCTCAAACAACAAACTACAGACATTCATCAACAGCTATCTTCACTGAAGATCAGATGTCTAGGTAGAAGAGATCAGTAACAAGGATCTCTGGCAATGAGCGAACCAACTCAGGATGGACATATTGTGCAACAAATATGCAGGAAGAAATGGAGGTGGATTGGAGAAAACAAACCATCAAGTGAGTGATATCACAAGACAGGCCATCACTCGATTGGAACCCAAACGGGAAGCGGCGAGCTGGTCATCAGCGCGAGGCTGCAGTGACATGGAGAAGGAGGTTATGTGAAGAGGAGATGTTAGCATATGGGCAGATGTGGAGCCAGGTGAAAACGCTGGCAGAGAACCGGACGCAATGGAGACGTCCGGCTGAAGCCTTATGTTTCTCTAGGAACTAAAGGAAACAATAATAACAATAAAGTGAGCACCAATATTACAAAGTAAATGATTATGAATGACAACGAATGTACAGCAATAAATTCTCATAAGTCTCATGTTCATGTTAAATTCCATTCATATTGATCATAAATTTCATATGGATGAATGGTCATGTCAAGGATGGGGGGTAGAGAAAAAGGGTGTTTTGCGGTTGAAATTTAGCTGCGTTGTATGTGTGTCAGTGTGTTAGTTATTTGCAATTAGATTGTTAATAGATCATAATGCCTTGTTCAAATTTATCAAAGGGACTAATTGTTTTAAAGATCATAGTCCAAAATATATTGTGTGTATGTGGTATTATGAATTTTTGTTAACGTACACACTGACACACATACAACGCAGCTAAATTTCAACCGCAAAACACCCTTTTTCTCTACCCCCCCCGTCCTTGACATGACCATTCATCCATATGAAATTTATGATCAATATGAATGGAATTTAACATGAACATGAGACTTATGAGAATTTATTGCTGTACATTCGTTGTCATTCATAATCATTTACTTTGTAATATTGGTGCTCACTTTATTGTTATTATTGTTTCCTTTAGTTCCTAGAGAAACATAAGGCTTCAGCCGGACGTCTCCATTGCGTCCGGTTCTCTGCCAGCGTTTTCACCTGGCTCCACATCTGCCCATATGCTAACATCTCCTCTTCACATAACCTCCTTCTCCATGTCACTGCAGCCTCGCGCTGATGACCAGCTCGCCGCTTCCCGTTTGGGTTCCAATCGAGTGATGGCCTGTCTTGTGATATCACTCACTTGATGGTTTGTTTTCTCCAATCCACCTCCATTTCTTCCTGCATATTTGTTGCACAATATGTCCATCCTGAGTTGGTTCGCTCATTGCCAGAGATCCCTGTTACTGATCTCTTCTGCCTAGATATCTGATCTTCAGTGAAGACAGCTGTTGATGAATGTCTGTAGTTTGTTGTTTGAGGTGCTCTTCATGACGCGCCAAGTCTCTGATCCATAAAGTAGCACTGACTTCACGTTGGAATTGAAAATCAGGATCTTATTTTTCATGCTGAGTACTGTTGACTTCCACATAGACTTGAGAGAAATGAAAGCTTGCCTTGCCTTCCCAATCGTCGCTTTGATATCCTCGTCAGTTCTGTCCGCCTGTAGTTGAAACGACTCTTCTTAGATCGGTAGGTAAATGAGGTGGTTTCTTTGAGGTTCCTCCTATTTATGCTGATTGTTTTCTGTTGTTGTTGCTGTTTCCGTTGTCCAGGAATCGTCACCTCTGTTTATTCTGTGTTCACATAAATGCTTATCTTTGACGCTTCTTCTGTAAACTTGTTGCTTTCCACTTGCACTGTTCAGTTAAGTATCACAATTTTACATATTACCACACACACACATACACACAATATATTTTTTGGACTATAATCTATTAACAATCTAAGTGCAAATAACTTTTGGAATTCACTTCTAAATGATTCGATGTTACTCTTTTTGAAAAAGAACCACTTATGTTGTCAATAACGATCATTCTGTCATTATAATAATGGATATATAACTTTAGAACCTGATAATGATGTTATCGAAAAGAATATTCTCTATTCAATAATCAACCTTTTGAAGTTTCAAAATGGTTATCTTTAATCATTGAAAATAATGCAAAGTCCAAAGGACATGTACTACTGCTGTATGAAGATGGTTCCTCAGTTGTCCTATGTAGGATTCTTATTGAGGCTAGAATTAGGGTGTCATTTAATAAACCAGCCAAATATTATATTATTATTATTGTATCCTTTAGTTCCTAGAGGAACATAGGGCTTCAGCTGCGCACCTCCATTGACTTCGGTTTTCTGACAACTTTTTCACCCTGCTCCAGGTCTGTCCACATGCTTTCATCTCCTCCTCGCATGACCTCCTCCAAGTCACCCTTGGACGACCAACTCGCCGCCTCCCTTTCGGGTTCCACTCGAGCAATGGCTTGTCTAGTGATGTCACTTGATGGTTTCCTCAGCGTATGGCCAATCCATCTCCATTTCTTTCTGCCTATTTGTTTCACAATCGGTTCCTGATTGGTTCGCTCCCAGAGATCCCTGTTGCTGATCTTTTCTTGGGCCA